AGGAGTTTTTGAGCATGTTAAGGCCTCCAAAAGTGTCCAAAAGGTAGCAGAAAAATAATAATAATAATAATAATAATAATAATAATAATAATAATAAATAATCCTAAGGAAAACAATAGGGCCTTCGCCCTTTGGGCTTGGGCCCTAATAATAATAATAATCCTTAGGAAAACAATAGGGCCTTCGCCTTTTCACGGCTTGGGCCCTAATAATAAGTCGGAAGAATAATAATAATCCTTAGGAAAACAATAGGGCCTTCGCCTTTTCAAGGCTTGGGCCCTAATAATCCTAAGGAAAACAATAGGGCCTTCGCCCTTTCAGGGCTTGGGCCCTAATAATAATAATAATCCTAAGGAAAACAATAGGGCCTTCGCCTTTTCAAGGCTTGGGCCCTAATAAAAAACAATAATAACAAATAATCCTAAGAAGAACAATAGGGCTCTGCGCCCTTTCAGGGCTTGGGCCCTAATAATCCTAAGGAAAACAATAGGGCCTTCGCCTTTTCAAGGCTTGGGCCCTAAAAAAACAGATTCTAATTATTGTTTTTTTTACGTAATAACCAATATACTGTCTAACACTTGATGGCTGCTCTGTCAAGTCGTCGTCGTAAGTTAGGAACCTGGGTGTGCTCTTTGATACCAAACTTTCATTTGAAAGCCATATTTCTAACATCTGTAAAATCACATTCTTCCATCTTAAAAATACATCTAAACTACGATATATGCTCTCAATGACAAATGGTTTCCCCCAAGGTTTTTTTTTCTCCATTCTGTCACCTGATGGAGTTTGGGTTTCTTGCCACTGTCGCGCGACTCTGGCTTGCTTAGTTGGGGGTACTTATTATTCTTAATATTTTTGATCTGCCTTCAGCAGAAGAACCATGTAATGAAGATCTACTTGCTGCAGCTGCACATGTATATGTTCCAAGATAGCATTACCCATTCTTTCGTGGGTTTAAATTTGTGGAAATACTGTTCTTTTGTACATTGCATGAACTGTATTATTATAACGGTTTTATTATGTATTATTAGTCTTCAGATGGATGTTTTGGAAAAAGTAAGGTAGGAGGTATACTACGCCTTCTGGTTGTGCCAGCTAACATGGCTTTTTTTTGTTGCATTTAATAAGAATATTTGGGGTCTTTCTACACTGCTGCTATTTTTCTTCTAACCTGCTCTCAGCTTTGAGCATCTTACCACCACACACACTTTTGATTGTCATCTTTTAAATCACACAATTTGCCTACAGCTGCAAGCTAACAATTAGTACTAATATAGTTGTAATTGTGATTGTATTCATCTTCTATATTAGTAATTATCTGTATTCATTTGATGTATTATTAATTAGCACTGGTATGTCTATCACTACAATATTGTAATGGTGCTGCTTCTATGCTGTTCTGTTTCTGTTCATTTATTTATAAAGCACGATTAAAAAAAACATTGACCAGCGTTGACCAATACATACAAACAATAATGGAAATATATGTAATACTTAAAAAAAAAAAAAAACAAGAGCTTCTTTGTAAATTAACTTGTTGAACCAAACGTTGATGCCAGTAAGTGTAATTTCAGATATCGTTTAAAAGAGCATAGAAAAGATGCTAATCTTAGATGTAATTATTCCAGTGCTTCAGATCTGCCACTGAAAATGCCCGGTCACCACTCAATTTTAATCCAAGGTCATCAAGTCAGATGATTTTAGACATTCCTAGGATCAGAGTCCTCTGTGGTTTATGTATATGAAGAAGATGTGCTAAATAGGGAGGTGGCAAATAGTGTGACGCTTTATATACTAGAATCAATAAGTTAAAATTAATCCTATATTGAACAGGTAACCAATATAGTGAGGCTAAAATAGCTGTTGCATATATGCGTCTAATTTCCTGTTTCTCTGGTGCCATGCAGTTGATGTGACTCAAGCGTCCAGTCAGCTGAAACCCCTGCCCTCTGCACCAGAAAAACAGCCAGTGCCCAACAAATAACTAATCAAATGGTTAGTCAAAATTAACAGCAAAAGAAAAAGACCCATATAATTTCCCTTTCTCCCTCACACAGCTGCTGCCTGAAGGTCAGCAAGGTTCTTCTTCACCAAACACATGTCTGGGAGGTTAACACTGACAACAAGGCTCTTTTTCACCAAACACATGTCTGGGAGGTTAACACTGACAAAAAAAAAAAAAAAAAAAAAAAAAAAAAAAAAAAAAAAAAAAAAAAAAAGTTTAGTGGTCTCCTCCTGGTTCCCGTCCCCTATACTCGCAGCCTCTATCACCTGATGCGCTTTTTTATGCCATTTCATGGGAACAGAGTACCTGGAATGCCGGTCACGCAAAAAAAGCCAACCTGGTCACAGGATATCCTGGACCAAATACCGTATTGTTCCGAATATAAGACAACCCCTGTTTTCAAGATGTAACTTTTGAAAAGTTTTTTTGAAGACCAAATGTTGTCTTTTAAAAGAAAATACTCAAAATTCATTTCATATTTTTCATATTTAATTTTTTCTTTTTTCTTTATTTATTTATGTATTTATCCTCCGTGATGACAAATGCACCTACGTCTTATTTTTGTTTATTGGAAACTTTCAAGTGCAAATACAGGATAATAGTTATTTGGTTAAATATGCGGATGATACTGTGTGATGATACTTTCCTTGCTTTCACATTCGATCAGGAATAGTAGTATGAAACTAGATCTGAATGTCTCAAACTAAAGAGATAATAATTAATTTTAGTAGGAGAACATTGGCACTTCAACCTATTGTCATTAATAGCACACATGTGGAGGAAGTAGAGCAATATAAGTACCTGGGAGTGGGAACGGTTTTTGATAAGTTAAAGTTTGACCAAAATTCTGATGCAATTGTCAAAAAGTCACACCAAAGATTGTTTGTGCTGAGAAAGCTTAATTATTTTAAATGTACAGAGAGTTGTTCTTAAGTCATTTTATAATTCATTTATTGAAAGTATCCTGTCCTTTTCTTTTATTTGTTGGTTTTCATCATTGTCTATAAAGAACAAAAATCGGTTGCAGGGTATTGTTAACATTTGCTCTAAAATTATGCGTGTTCCCTTACGAAGCCTTACATCTTATTACGAACAGCAGGTGCTGAGGATGGCTCATAAAATAATAGGAGATAGTACACACCCGCTGCATTTGGTCTTTGAGTGGATGCCCCTGGGATGACGTCTAAGGGCAATTAAATGTTCTACAAATCGCTATAAATTTACTTTTGTGCCTGAAGCAATATGGCTATGTAATAAAAAAATAAAGAAAGAAATAAAAATCACCCAAGTTTATTTAATTTATTATTTATTTATTTATTTAATGTATTTGAATGTATGTGCTAAGTGTTTTATGTGAGGCACCATTTAAGCTCAAACTAATTGCCCCACCTCTGTTTCCACAATAAAATGATAATTGGGCTAAGCAAGATGATACAGATATGATCGGGTTGATTACAGATATGTTTCCACTATCAAGTGATAACTGGGCCAAGCAAGGTGATACAGATATGCAACAAATTTCTCTGCAAATACAGTACCAACATAGGCAGAGTGTTTGTAAGGCTGGGCAAGACTTTGCCTTACCATAACCACAGACTTGAGACTAGCATGGACTTAGTCTCTTGAGTAGGTCTTACTCAAACCACTACCTGCTGCTGCTTCTTAGCTTTTAGAGGGAAAAGCTGCCTATAACTGCTGGTCTAGGATCTGTTTTCTCTGTAATAATAGGATGTTGTGAAACAAATTTAGCAAACGATCGCATCTGTGTCTGCACTCTGGAAATCAAAGGATTCCATTTACAACGAGTTTTGCTGCATTGAGCAATGTAGCTTATCACAAACACATCTGATAACGTTTAATGAAATGGCCAATCAGAGCTGTTTTAGTTAGCACTGAACAAAAACTCTGCGTTTCGAGCAGTGTGGATATTCTGAGTTCTGCTCGCTCGCAAATCCTTCACTCCATGAAGTGTAGACATTATGTAAATAAGAGATTCATTGTGTAGTCAGCTTCATCTATGCTGTAAGATCACGAAATAAGATGAGTTTGATTATAAAGGAGGCACTCTTTGCCTGGTTTCTGCCATGCCAAATCCCACATACAGTATGCTTGCTTTTCTGCTAAAATTAACAGTGGTGTGTGAACGTGCTTAAATGAATAATTTATTGAGAACGTTTATACTGGGATGTGTAGGTTGTACAACAAATTGTAACTATTACAATGAAATTTTTGTTTTTAAAGGGGAAGCGCATCTCTTTAGCCTAGTTCACCCTCTAGCTACAATTACCAACCAAACTAAAACATACAGAAGACAGGATAGATGACCAAAGGAGGGTCATTCTGCCCTTGTACCTCTGTGCACATGGCTCTACATCTCTGGAGTCATACCACCTGCACCTGAATCGCTTCGTGCCAGGTTCGCACAACACAAAAATTAAGAGGACAGACAAAATAGGCTAAAGGTCCTTGCACACAGAGTCAGAAATTCTCGGACAATATGTGCTGCCTATCTCCCAGACACCCCCCGCTGCAAGAGGATCTGTATAGAGTAGTCGCACCCACTTAATGAAGTATTCCCTAAGACCACATTTTACCAAGTTATAAAATAAATAAGACCACTCCACAGAATCAAAAGATTTTTCCGCATCAAGGGACAGAATGAGAGAATAAAAACTAAGGTTATAAGAAAGCTCAGAGAAAGATTTAACAGTACAAGCATCCCTCATCCCCACAGGTGACCCCATTGATGTTTGGGGGGCACTTGCCCTAAATTTCAGGGCCATTGTGTGCTCCCTGTGGTCCTTGGAGGCCAGAGATAAGATCATCAGGGTCTTCTCTTGCATTATGTTCCATTCCGTTATACAATCATGTGCGAATGGTCCTTAAGTAGCTCAGGGCTCGAATAATACTTGCAAGCACCACACAAGCTCTGCTTCACAACAGCGTTCTGCTCGAATACGGAATGACAAAATACAGGTGTGCACCTTCATTTTACCTGGTGAACAACAGGAGCTGGAGCATTGATGACCTGCTGCACATTTCGGACTCCTGCTGAGTACTTGTATTGACCGACTCCTCTGACTACAGCTCCAGTTCTCCCACCAGCAGTCTGTGTCCCAATATTTGCTAAGCCAAGAGAGAAACGGGCACATTCAACAAGAAAATACACTTCACATTCCAGCCAACAGGACACACATAATGACACTAACATTCATCAATTCTAGCTCATTAGATTAAATGTATAGATGTACCAAAGGTGATAGAGATACATACTTGTGAGAAGCATCCATACCCAAGGCATAAGTCCCATTTTTTAGAACTTATAGTCAATGGAATGGGTTAAAGGGACCATCAAAATAAAGTTTAGAACATAAGTACCTTTGCACCTACATGTCTACTAACTCTCAGTAGAGTGTTATTAGAGTATTAGTAGACCAGTAGGGTTAAAATAAGTTGACATGTAGTTGCTAAGTTACTCATAGTCATTTTTTGGGGGACCATCACAATAAAGGGTTATCAGATATTAAGCAGAGAGTCTACTAATACTCTAGTTAGTTGACGTGTAGTTGCAGAGTTACTTAGGTCAACAATGTTCAAAAGGGACCATCAAAATAAAGTGTTACCGAACTTATAAATACACATGTGGACACCCATACACACGTTTGTTTTAGTATTTTCGTTCTTCGTGGGAACTTTACATTGACTTATTGGGTAAGACTTTACAATAATAGTACATGAGTAATCATGTACTAATACCTGATTTAATAATTACTTTACTATGAACTAATGATGAGTTAAGACATGTACTAGTGAGGAACTAACCTTAAAGGACAAGTTCGGTATATTTTTTTAAAGAGAAATTTCGGTTTCTGTGGTTGCACCCCCCCCCACCTCCACAATGGTTGCATAGGTGCACATAAACAATCCTTCCTAAAACGCATTAAACTTTAGTTTACTAAGACGTTAAACTCACCGAGTGGTCAGGGGTGTTCACTGATATGCTCAAGTCAAGTCAAATGGAGTTAGACAAAATCTACGTTAAAACCTGTTGGAAAGCATCTTTTGCAGCGATTTTTGTGTGAGCATATCAGTGAACACCCCTGACCACTCGGTGAGTTTAACGTCTTTGTAAACTAAAGTTTAATGCGTTTTAGGAAGGATTGTTTATGTGCACCTATGCAACCATTGTGGAGGTGGGGGGGGGGGGGGGGGGTGCAACCACAGAAACCGAAATTTCTCGGGACAGCAGCATGTGTCCAAATTTTAACCTTAACCGTTCTATTTCATCAGAAACGATCTTGAAACAGGGCTTTAAGTGTAAAATATTGAACTTGTCCTTTAACTACGACATGAGTCATGAATTCCTGCATGAATAAACCATCTTAACTACAAGTTAGTACATGCTTGTTAATGTATAAATTAACATTTCGGGGTAAACTAAATCAAACTTGCTCTAGAAAATGGACACATTTTGTGGCCCAAAAGAAGAGCAGCCAAGAACCCTAACTGACTAACATCCAACTGCATTATGATATAAAGACAGTAAACCAATCCATAAAATAACCACATAAATAACCATCATCTGTGCTAACATTGATTTTAATTTTGAAAATTGCATCTGTTAATGAATATGTTAGTGTAGGTATTTCACTCTTGATGGCAGCAGTGGAATCACTTAAAACAGAATGAGATTAAATTGTTTTTAATGATGAATGTGTGTGAACACTGTGTTCAATGAGTAAGGTTAAATGTAAATATTGCAAGACATCTAGTGTCATTCACTGATGATTGTGACAGTTGCTGGTGTCAAATTTATGAACAATTTTACATTGTGCCCTTTTAGTACATCTTTCTTCTGATCTAGAACATGTTTGATTTAGTTTACCCCGAAATGTTAATTAATGCATTAATTAACAAGCATGTACTAACGTGTAGTTAAGATGGTATATTCACGCAGGAATTCGTATGACTCATGTCGTAGTTAAGGTTAGTTCCTCATTAGTACATGTCTTAACTCATCATAAGTTCATAGTAAAGTAATTATTAATTCAGGTATTAGTACACTATTATTGTAAAGTGTTACCACTTATTGTTATCTAATGATTTTTTTTTTTAAACAAAACATTATTCCATTTCAGTTTTACTCAAGGAGACCTTTGGCTGTTCCCCACTGTATAGCTATTGAGGACATTTGGACCCCACAATGTAGGACACGCACGCACACGCACACTTACCCATTCGCTGGGTGTTGTTAACAATGTGAGGAACCTGGGTGGAGGCCTGGCGGACTGTGCTGATGGTAGTGCAGGGCCTGCGTGGCACTGCTTGCCTCACAAACTGAGCTGTAAATGGAGCTAAAGCAGCCAATAACAGAAATTAACTAAGAACACAGAACATATGCAGACCAAATAGTTTTAAAAAAATGTATTTGAATGATTGTAGTGACATAATTTATAATTGTAATTTATAGTAATATTTCCAGTATTACTCAAAGGTCTAGTTTCAATTATAATTAAAGCTGCAAGCAGCGATGAAAGGGCCCTCACACCCGTGCTATTGCCACCCGGTGGTTTAGGAAGACAAAGCACGGTGGGAAATGTGCATTTAAGTAGGTAAATATAGGAGGAGTATGTCAAAGTCACTTACAAAATTGTCCTTTATTATGATGATAATAGCATGCTTTATCACTCAGCTAAGTGTTGCTAGCATGTTTAGTATATTTCTAGCATGTTTAACACACAAAGGCATATTTTAGTATGTGGCTAGTACTGCAATACAGTGTTAACCATGTCACTTCCTGTTGTCAGTAGGTGGCGCTATTACTATAACTGAAAATTGTCATGTAGATGTGTTCAGGACAGAACTCTTATTAAACGTGTGAAGTTTGGGGCAGATTGGACATTGCCTTGAGTAACAACAACTTCCTGTTTCATTGCATTAGCATGCTTTAGCATTTAGGTAAGAATTGCTAGCATGTTTTAACATGTTTATAACATGTTTATAACTCAATGGCATATTTAATATGTTGCTAGTACTGCATCACAGTGTTAAACATGTCACTTCCTGTTGCCAGTAGGTGGCGCTATTACTATAACTGAATATTCTCATGTAGATGTGTTCAGGCCATGACTCATCAAACGTGTGAAGTTTGGGGCAGATTTGACATTCCATGCGTGAGTTACAGCAAATTCCTATTTAATTTTAGTAATAGCATGCTTTAGCACTTAGCTAAGTGTTTGCTAGCATGTTTTAACATGTTTCTAGTATGTTGCTAGCATGTTTAGCACTTGCTGGCACTTTGTCATTAGGAGTCCACAACAGTGTTAAACATGTCACTTCCTGTTGCCAGCAGGTGGCGCTATGACTGTAACTGAATATGAGCATAGACATGTGTTCAGGACAGAACTCTTATCAAACGTGTGAAGTTTGGGGCAGATTGGACATTGTTTGCCTGAGTTACAGCAACTTCCTGTTTCATGGCGAAACATCGAATTTTGTCAGGCCGCCGAGGACACGCCCTTCAACGAAAACTCAAGATCTTCGCAATTTAACGTCGCAAAGGCCTTAAGATTACACTCACCAAATTTGAAGATAATCAGATTAAAACTGTAGGAGGAGTTCGTTAAAGTACGAGGCCTGAAAATGGCAAAAACTGCACAAAAATCTGAGAGGAAGTTCAAAACGGCTGACTTCCTGTTATGTTTAGGGCTACGCTCCAAGAGACTTTTTTGTAGGTATTGTGTCATTACATGTATGTACCGAATTTCACACCTGTACGTCAAACGTAGAGCCGAGGCAATAATGTAGGGTTGCGCTATTGAGCCATTTTGCCCCACACATTTGTCAGGCCGCCGAGAGCGCACCCTTTGACGAAAACTCAAGATCTTCGCAATTTAACGTCGCAAAGGCCTTAAGATTACACTCACCAAATTTGAAGAGGATCAGATCAAAACTGTAGGAGGAGTTCGTTAAAGTACAACATCAGGAAATTACGAAAAATTCACAAAATCTAGGAGGAAGTTCAAAATAGCTGACTTCCTGTTGTGTTTAGGGCTATGCTCCAAGAGACTTTTTTGTAGGTATTGGGTCATTACATGTATGTACCAAATTTCATACCTGTACGTGAAACGTAGAGCCGGGGCAAAAATTTACAGAATTTGCCCCACCCAATTTTGAAAACCATATCACACGTAAATTTTCACCACTTCTGAAGCATGTGCAAAGTTACATGAGTTTTCGAGCATGTTTAGGACCTCTAAAAACAGTCCCTCCAGAAAAACGCGATTATGCGATCGCTGAATTCAATGCAAAATCAGCCAAAGTCCGCATATTTATGCGGGGGTCGCATTTTTTCAAATACTCCGCAATTTCGCCGCATAAATTGCTGATTTCCGCGCAAAATATGCGGGGCTTGCATGATTTCATAATCCCCGCATTTTCGTCGCAAAAAAGTCACATACATCTTAGCAGAAAGTTGGAAAATGTTGCGTTTGCTTCACACAAGAGCAGCCACTTCCCCCTGTTGCCATGGGAACGTTATGAAGTGAAGTAATTACGCGACGTGAACATCATTGAAAAGCTGTAAAACAGGAGCACACTTTATTTTTATATTTCATTTATTCATTTTTACTGAAGTTGTAGCATATTCCTCTAGTAAAGCTACAGAACTTGTTTGACTCATCAATGTTTTGTAAGTTTGATGTGTTTATTAAGGTCTTGTAACGCGTTGTGTCGGGAAGAAAAATAGGGATAGCTCACAGCTGAAGTAATTGCAGAGGCCAGACAGACTCACGGAGGCGATTGGCATCTCACAACTCGCACTTTATTCCCAAATCGAACTCGTAACTGTCTGTCACACGTTCTACCGTCCACGTCGTTACTTAATAAACAAAATAAGATAAAAGAAGTAGCATCAAACAGAAATTACCCGCACACATGGGGTGTTCGAGGCGCATGGCACATACAATATAATACTGCAGACAGTTAGACAGGGAGCGCGCAACTCTTAAAGGGGCCACACCTTATTTCCACTCGATACAGTCTGAAATAAAACAAGATGAGAAATTAAATATTTCCAGAACTTTCTGTGATGTAGTATGTTTGCTTATCATAGGAAGTAATAAGAAAGGTTTTTACATTAATTACATTAAGGTAGTAGCCTAGTGAGAACAGGGTGTTGGGGGGGATCACTTTTTTTCCCTCTTTTTCATCAAACCGCAGTTTTTGCAAGTTCCCGCAATTTTTGCAAGTTCCCGCAATTTCATCGCAAAAAATTGCATAAATATCCCGCATATTCCATCGCATTTTTAAAGAAAACGGGCCGCGTAATCAAGGATTTTTGCCCGCAACAATCACAAAAAAACTCCGCGTTTTTCTGGAAGGACTGTATAAAGCGATTCTTTTAAGAGAAGAATAATAATAAATATAGCTGCGAGCAGCGATTACGGGCCAAAGGCACCGGGGTGGCGGTGCCGCCGGCTTTTTTTTTTATATATATATATATATATATATATATATAAAAACCCGGTGGCACCGCCACCCTGGTGCCTTTAGGGTTATTGTGCACAACGTGACACAAAATATCAAAATATCTGCTCGCTATCTGCCGAACGGCTCTGGTAGTTCCGCTTCAGCACTGATGATGTTGTAGAAATAGTGTGCTCTGGTTGGTCTGGATTATTCGGGATTTTTTATTTTATACAGAAATAAGTTATTTATAATTCAGATGAGAATAAAGTAAGTGTTGATTAAAATGAAGGAAAACAAACAGGTTATATTGATCTGAAATATAGCACATTAATTTTAAATTTATTTAGGTTCAATTACCAAGCATACAATCTTAATTTAATTTAACCCTCTGGGGTCCAAGGTGTTTTGGGCTCCTTGAGATGTTTTGACATGCTCTGACATTTGTGTTTTTTTCAGTTGCTTATAAACATATTAATGGCACAGGTGAAATTACACTCTATTTAGCACACACAGGACTACCATAATATGTGAGCAACATGTATGTACAAGTTTGTATTTTTGAGAGAATATTGTTTATGCGTGGTTATTGAAAAAACTAAAAAATAAAGTTTTTGAAATAAGGACACAAAAAACATACTAAATATGTGTCCACAAGATTTTTGACTAATGGACGTTGTCGCCTAGAGTTTTTGCTTCAAAATGATCTGAAAATCATCCTTCCTAATCATTCACATAAAACAATAGATTGTTTTAAATTGTGAAAAACATTTTTTTGTTTGCCAAGGCAATATGCGGATGGGCGGAACGGCCCAACCCCTATCATGAATAATTAAGTGGTTCTCAGACAGTGACCCTGCATAATAATGAGCCTTTCATTCAGGGGTGTCACACAAGAAAGAATGCAAGGACAATATATATATATATATTGTCATTGCATTCTTTCTTGTATATATATATATATATATATATATATATATATATATATATATATATATATATATATATACACACACACACACACACATATATATATATATATTAGGGGTGTAACGGTACATGTATTCGTATTGAACCGTTTCGGTACGAGGCTTCCGGTTCGGTACGCATACAAACCGAACGATTCATTGGACCATTTTTTCCTGCCGACAAAATTCGCGCTGGCGCGATCACCACAACGTTGCGCAACATCAAATGGCAAGCGTAATGAAAGCGGAACGAAACTGCGCTACTCATTATATTGTGCTTCACGGGTCGTTTATCAGTTCGGACCAGCAACATCTGTGCAGCGCGAGCCGATCTCGATCAAGCGACACTGTTACAACACAGCACTAAGAGATCCAGTGAAGAAAACATTTGAATTCGCCATGGAAAGAATAATCGCTATGAGATCTAGTGAGAAGGATTCACATTTCTCCGTTATTACCGTATATCTTTATTAGATCAAACAGCGCTGACGTGGAAACCAGGAGAAACATTGTGCCGTGAATGAACTAGTTATACTTTACGTCCACAGACCAGCAACATTCACCATGGATTTAATATAGTAACACTAACTGTAACCTTGGCTGGAATAGTGAAATACTTTCAAGTACTTCACACATCTTTTTCCAGCACTTCAAAACTCAAATAATATATAAATAAATATATATTTAGGGCCCAAGCCCAAAGGGCGAAGGCCCTATTGTTTTCCTTAGGATTATTTATTATTATTAGGGCCCAAGCCTTGAAAAGGCGAAGGCCCTATTGTTTTCCTTAGGATTATTATTATTTTTTTTTTTTTTCTCCTCTTTTATTTTTCTTACGACTATTCGGGCACTTTTGGGGCTCTTAACGTGCACGAAAACTCTTGAAACTTTGCACGCGGGTCAGAACCCGCGGCCATCAG